AAGAGATGTTATAAATGGCGATGCTTTGCAGATTCTTTCACTCAGTCTTTCTTGTGTTATCTAGTATAATGAGAATTTCGTAGAGGTTTAAATCTTGGTTTTGCACTGAAGATGCAACAGTTATGAGATCATTAAACTGTATGGTGCAGTTTTTAATGTAGCCAGTGTAACTTTTCCTGATAAATGCCCGGCCCCTCCCCCACAAGCTGCAAAGCAAAAATGACAAGTACTGTAATGTTGAAATTGGATCCAAAAGGATTTAGCAAACTGAGCATTTACCATATTTAGCATCATCAAAGTTCCTTCCTCTCATACTTCAGCGATGCTTTGCTGATCTTATGATTAGTCTGATATGCTGTTTCTCTTAAATCACCTACACTACTATTCCTAAACCCGCCCCCTTTATCTCTTCTTGGGTGAAATTCGTGCGTATCCTTTACTACTCTTAAATTGACTATTAGGAAAAAATGATAAAGCTAAAATGTGCATTTGGTCCATATCAGGCTGTGCCATTGATTTGCTCAGGAATCTGCGACACTGTGTTCCTTTCCCTGCGCATTGCAACTGACAGCTTGTAGCAAAGTCAAATAAGATGTTTAACAAACCACATGTCCTATCGTTTTTAGCTTTGCCATTGTAGCCGTGTGGCTGTGAGCCAGAGACAGATACAACGCCTCCTCCAGTGCGATGCAACTTTGCCTGTGTTTTGTGTGCACACGTGTGTGTATGCGTGTAGCCAGTTCCACATTTCCCTCTCTCGCAGTAGGGTTAGCTGGCGAAACCTGTGCTGCACAGAGCAATTTGAAACTGAGTTTTGAAAGGGGGGAAATAAAAAAACCACTATTTTTTTTGTGGAAGGTGAAGATGCTTCTCTGCTCTGGGGCCGTTCTTCCAGGGAGGAAGAAGGTGGGTTGTCCTGGTGAGTGAAAGCTGCAAACGTCAGTGTCCCACCACAAATGCCGAAGTTGGTCAGAAAGAGAGGACAGCTTGCTGTGCCACTTGATATCTGTCTCATCTCTGGTGTTGCCATAGGCTTTTGAATGCCAGCTGCAATAATTAAAGTCAGGTATTGTTGCTATGCATTAAAAGAAAAAAAATTAAAATCCCAAATAATTTTATAACTCTTTCAAAATCCATCCTAACACAAATCGTCAGAGCTCACAGTTGTGACTGTGGCAGGATGATTTCAAACGAGGGGGACACCATGCTGTGAGTTAAAATAAAAATATGGCTGAAAACCATAAATAAGATTTTTTTTTCCTGATTTATGTACTTACAACAAGCAAAATAAATTAGCCTGAGGACAATACCTGGTTTTCAGCCTTGCTTTGGGTCCCACTCTTCCTCCGTCATCCTTGTTCCCTGGCATTTTTTTATAGTTACCATCGTTCTCCATGTGTTAACGTCTCTCTGCACAATGCCCGTTCCTTTTCCGTGTGGGCATTTAACGGCTCAGTCTTAGTTCTGAAGTCTCAGGGTCTCTCTGTGCTAGCGATTTCTCTCTACGCCCTCCTGCCTACTCCTTACACTCACCACGCTCCTCTGCGTAGCGAGCAAATGAGCACCAAAGCAAGCCCCCGCACACGCCATCTCTCTGAGCTCGGCCTGCCTGCTGCTTCACAGGAACTTGCCCGATTTTGCAGACGTAGTTATTGAGATTGATCACAATAGTGAAACGTCTGCCAAGCTGCGTTATTTGCACAAATACACTGTATGCAGTTTTGGTACAGTGGGGCTTGACGCGATGATTGCCTCTTTTCATAGCGCTAGTTACGGCACGTGTCGTCGTTTCGAAGGGGGAGGAAATAATTTTTAAGAAGTTTGCTCTGCTTTTGGCAATGGAAAACCATACTAGTGAGAAAAAAATAATTAAGACCAGTTGTACGCAAGTCTTAGCAGAATGTTTAACTTAAGGCATTCTGAGTTAGTCCCATAAAAATCAGTGAGATTATGTAAAACAATTCAAATAACACCACCTATAAAATCTAAGTAATAACCCAGTCACGTAAGCGGCCTACGAACCCTTGAGAGGAACGCTGGCTGCCAAAATTTTCAGAAGTGATGATGGTTTTAGGCCAATTCCATTTTGGGATGCTCAACTGGAGATCTGTTAATGAGAGCCACTTTGTCAGGAGGTCCTCGATAGTCCATTCCCTGAAAATGAAGTGTGCCCAGTGCTGCATCCGAAAATTAAGCCATCCTAAATTATGAAAATTCTGGCCACTCATGTGCTTATTTTAGGAACCTGTATTCTTCTCCAGTTTCATCTGTGGGATTCATCTTGGATTGATTTGGTGTTCATCAAAAGGAGAATTAAAACCTTCGAACCTGATTCTTATTTAAACTAAGGCCACTTACGAGTGGTTTTGCGATACACAGGCACTGTAAAGTACAATTTATGACCACCGTAATGCTCCTTTACACAACCGGAGCAGTGCAAAGTGGCCTCAAGAGAAGTGAAAATCAAGTCCGTAACTTGCTAACTTCCATCTCAGAGATTGCTCTTTCCATACAAACTGCTCTGCCCTGGCAGTCTCTGTACTTCTGGTGGTACCAGCAGTGGGCACAGCCTAACGGGACAGTTGTTTGTTTCAGTATTAAACGCCACGCATTTTTTCCCTCAGCTGTATACTTCCTCCTTCAAGGGCTTTATTGTTGTAGCGTTTTAGCATCGTTCTCAGCATTCTTAAAGACAAAGTCGGAAGGCCGCTGTCTGGTGATCTGCAGCAAGGAGCGTAAAGCTGCTTTGGCAGTTTGAAAATAGCAAACGTAACTGTCCTGATTCCTCTGAAGAAACATAGGTGTCTAGATGGAACTTCTTTTTCACTTAAAAATCTTGGTTTCAGGAAATTTAATTGATGCCCTCGGGCCTTTTCCTTTTTTTTTTTTTTTTTTTTTTAAAAAAAATTTAAAGAGGCTTTCTTGTGAAAGAGCAGAGCTTTACTTCAAACTGCACGGGAAATGAACCTGGTTTTTAATCAAGTAACAAAATCCACGGCTTGCAATAGAAGGTCCGTGCATTGCATGTATCAGTTAATGCTTATTAATCAGTTTTTGCAGTGAGTTGAACTGCAGATTCTAGTTGGAAGCTATTAGGGAGAGAATCGCGAGAGGAATACTGTTGCAGGACTACACTCGGTTTTTCTGTTTGTGTCCTTTGGATTCAAGGTGTTTGTATAATGAAGTTGGCACGTTGATATATGATC